CGGGTCTCAACGACGCTTTACGGCTAAAAACTACAAGGGTAGAGAAGCCGTTGCAGTCCCTGACTGCAGCCATCACAGGCCCTCTCCTCAGGGGGTTCCTAAGGTGCGCACTACCAGACTAAGGCGCCTTGGCAGGCGACTCGAGCAGTGGTACAAACACCCTGACCCTCAGTTGCCCAGACATGTGCTCAGGGAAGCATTCTTCGGGTGCCCCTAAACCCTCTTGACCGTAATGCCCTGCCGGCTTTGCGTCAATGGTTGCAAGAAGAGCTTATCTAGCCTCGAAACTGCCCAGAAAGAAAAGCGTTTGCAGGAGTGGAAACATCTTACGCAACAGCAGCCCCGATGCTTATGGGCCTCAGGTTTTCCAGCACTCCGGGGCCTTGCCGGGCTTGTTCATGTGAATTTGCCTCCATTGGCGCAAAGCCTTAGGCCAGCTGCTACCCTCCTCAATCTTATTGAGGAAGCCAGCAAGAAGGTCGAGAGCGGGACCTGGCCAGTGCCACAGCTCCTCAGGCCGCCACCCCTCCGCTTGCCTCGCTGGCGTGTTAGGGTTCGCTTGAGGTCCTCGCCGTGCAGAGGGGGCATGTCAGGATGGCAGACATTGTCTGCCAGTCCACCCTCAGTATACATGTTTTCAAGCACTTGGTGTTTGTTCCTCGTTGCTAGGCCAGTGTTGGCGCCAGAATGGGAGGGGGTGAGGACCGCGCCCTGAGCGTTTTTGAGGCCGCTTGGCTGCGGCGCCGGTTCCCTAACCAAGTGCACAGAGGGCTCCCTGCGAGGGGCGTGCACACGGCTCTCCGTGAGCCCCTGGCAGCGCTTGAAGTTGCGCAAAGAACACCGCGCGGCAACCTAAGGTATGTCGGGGCATCGGACCTTAGCAAAGCATTTGACGCTACGCACGGTGCCTTGGCTGTCCGAGCCCTTAGCAGACTCGGGGTGCTGGAACCTCTGTGTCGCGCTTGGCAACAGGTTTGGGGCCAGCAAGAAAGATTACCAAATTGCGGGCCTGTGCAGCAAGGGCGACCCGGCTTCCCCTGCCGGGCTGACGGCTCCCCTAGTGGAATCTCTCCGTAGGATCTCCAGTAAGTTTTCCGGGAATGGGAAGGGCAGATGTCTTCACAGGCTCTTCTTGGACGACAGAAGTTGGTTCTGCGAAAAGCGTAAAACCTGCTTGGACATTGGGCTTGAGTGGCGCAGGGAAGTGTCCCTGTGAGGTTTAGGTTAGAATAAATCCAAGGCTGACTTTGGCGTAGTCGGCACAGCTTCTGACCGCAGAAACACGCAAGCTGAGCTCACTCGTCGCGAACAAGTGGGGGAAGTCAAGCTTCGCCCACGCCTTCTGGGCTCTCGCCTTCACACCAACAGGGCACACAGCAAGCCCCAAGGTGAAGAGAGCGACCGGCTCGGTGAAGCTAAGATAATGGCTGCTTGGGGCAGTAACCTGCCCTGCAATCAAGCCCAAAAGGCGCACTTCCTCAAACAGTCCGCAGTGGCCAAAGCTGCTGCTCCTACTTACGTGAGGTTGGAGGCCCTTAAGGCCCTTCGGGGGGTTCAGTCTACCATTAACACTGCTATCTGCTCGTCTGGGCACGCCTCAGGAGGGAGTTTGGCTGACTTGTTTTTGGGGCACGGTGCTTGTCTCAAGTATCGTCACGGGCAAGTTGCTACGGCGCAGGTCCTGATTCAAAGTAATTTGCCTGTGCTGCGAGCTGCTTGGCATCACAGCCGTTCCTATGGGCCGGTGGGACTGGCTCGTAGGTGGATGCAGAGGCATGGATGGAGGGAGAATGGAGTTTTCCGCTGGACGCACCCAGCAACTCATGAAACTCTGTACTCTTGCGCCATTCATGGGGGCAGGAGAGTGAGAGGAATCCAACTCACTGAGCAAAACAAAGATGCCATCAATCATGCCCTGCGTGATGCTTGGAGGGCCAGCTGCTGGCACACTTGGTTGGCGCAGGGGTCAAATAGGGCTAGGCCGCTGGCCGCTTTGACACGGCCTCAGGTTCGTGGCAGGTTTAAGACTGCTATCTGCATCCTACACCAGCTCCCATGTGAGTTGAAGTCTCATGCTCAAGCTGTCCTGGTGGGGCACCTAGTGTCCCTAGCGGCATATTTTGTGATGACCAACCCGCAGGCGGAAATGATCCCCTGCCC